GAGATATCTTGAGGATGGGACCCAAGTCTAAACAAGAAATTCCTGTATATTTTATCCATACCTTATATTAATAGGGTAAAGCTAATTTTACACAATATTTTTAATAATTTTGTGCATGTAGCAAAGTTTGTGTACCTTAAACTATCAGACTTGTGGTACTGTGTTGACGCTCAAACAAACCTTGAAGCACTTCACATTTCAAATTTTTGTATTAGGGATGCTCAATTTATACAACATTATAAAGTCCTTAGAGATAAAGAGCCAGAAGTAGCATTTACGTTAAAGGAAAACTTACATAATGCCATTGCATAAGAAGTGATCAAGACAGGCACTGTTAAGTAGGCTGGCCTGTTACTCTCAGGGAACTGGTGTTCCTTTTGTTCATTAGTTGATGAGCTCTGTTCCAAATCTCAAGGACAAGATTTGGAGCCAGAGAAGGAATAATGCTCCTTTTAGATGAGGTCTCTGATCCTGGTCTTCAAAGAGAAACCTTCTTACCATAGGGAATTGGGTAAGAGTAAAACCTTCAAGTTCTAAGTCAGAAATTCCTCAGTGAGGAAATAGCTGGTTCCAAGCGCATGTCTTAGTCTGAGACCAAGAGGCAATGACCAAGACGACACAGCTCTTGCCCTCTAGAGGGAAAGACTTGTGTTATACAAAGGTACGCTGCTAATAGGTTGATGGCTAATTCATCATCCTTCTAATTGCAAGGAGCCACATAGAGGAAAAATGAGGGTACATGATGTGAAGGACTTCCTTAACCAGAGGATGTTTCATCTGAGATCTGGAGGACAAGTAGAGGATGACACTTGAAAGAGACAGAGTAGCAGGAGGAAAGGAATGAAGAAGGCCTGGGATGGAAGGGCAGAGGCACCCAGCCCCAGAAGGGGGTTTTGTGAGGTGGGGGCTCCAGGGCCAGAGTGAGTGTTGGTGGACGAAGCAAAGAGATGGGCGGCGCCTCACAGCATCTGCCAGGGAGTCTGGGCTGTGTCCTGGGAGCAAAGGAAAGTGACAGCTTGCGCTGGCCTTGTCAGAGGCTGCTCTGGCTGAAGCATGGAAATGATGTAGGAGGGGACACAGA